TTTATATATCTAGAAAAAAGGGGGATTTCATAGATGTGTTGTCTTCTGTGGCTGAGGAGCCCAGGAGACAGCTGTGGGCTTAATAGAACCTTCTTTTGAAATGTTCTTTCACTCAAGATGCTTGACTTCAAATTTATTAGCTGAAAAAGAGGCACATTTGATATTTGCATCTGAAGACTGTGTTGTCAACATCTGTGGGTTTTTTTTAAATTGCAGATGTTTTCATTACCAGTATCTGAAGTAATTTACTAAACAGCTTCTTTGTCTGCTTTAGCTGGAGGCTATAACAAAACAAATGCACTGTACAGTTAATTTTACATAAGCTTAATATTTTTGAATGAATTGCAAAAATCACATGGCTAAATAGATGCAAAAATATTGAAATCTCTCTTAATGATGTTTTTAATGTTCTTTTAAACAGGAAATTGCTTTAAAGAATACACAAGACCTGCATATACCACGGCCACCAGAATACTACTCCTGTCTTGTCAGAGATCTGGAAGCACTGGGTTGGAATAAGTATGTTTATTTTATTTCTCACCAAGCATTATCTTTAGAATGTGTGAGTTGAATATATCAAATATACTTGTTCTGTTCATTTACCCTATTCAGAAACTGCTTTTGCTTTAAAAACTCTTCTGCTTTGTGTTTAAATTAAAAACACCCAGCAAACCTAGATCAGCTGTAGGTCCATTTTCTGTCTCAAATAACTGAGTTGAAAGGTGAGGTACTACTACTAAGAAATCAATTTTCTCTTGACCTATAAACTATTGGTATAGTAAACATATTTAATATTAATATTTCTAGTTCTCTTTGTTCTTTTCTCTACTTTGTACAGCTTTTTTCACTGTTCCCATAGGCTGTGGTTGATCATCATGTACCTTTATGCTTTCATAAAAACAGTTCATACATCTTTTAGAACTAAAATAATTTTAAAAAACAGTTCTGTCTTGCTGTCCATAGCATAAGAATCTCCTTAGACAAAGGAATATTATAGTTAATCCACTGAAAAGCAAATCTACCAGAAAATAGGTGAGTGGAGAGGAGAATTTGGAGAGCTGTAAGTCCAGAACTTCATATTCACTGTAACATATACTCTCAGATGAGCTTATAGAACAAATTTTCACTGTCCTATAGAGAAGAAACAAGTGTGTTCTCCTCATACCTTCTGTAGAAACCTGAAGGAACACACAGTTGTGATCAAGCAGTCAAGGTCCATGTGGAGATTTTGCACAAATCTACAAAGGGTCTTGTTTGATGGACTTGAAAGGCTTTGACTGCCATCACATGTGCCACAGCTGACAAGTTCTGTGATCCTGAGTCTTTTACTCCTACAACAGAGAGCCCAGAATGGGCTGATTCTATCCTTACCCCTAGCACCTTCAGGAGATCTTGATGAGGTTGAAGAAGGGAGTTGTTTCTGTGGAAGGAGGAATTAAGGACACATGTTTGCAGGCTGTATTTAATAATATGCAATTAATCTCTCAGTGCCTTCTTTCAAGGAGTTAAGATGAAAGATTTTGTAGCATTTTGAAGAGTTGTGAATGAGAAGCTACTTTTAGATTCAGTAAAATTAAAGTTTAAAAAAACTCCACATTTGTGGTTTTCAATGAGACAAACCTGCTTTGTCCTTAGTCTTGGGTGTTAACTTTAACAAGTGTATATTTTGCTCAATGAAATAAAGAAGCCTTGGAGGTAAGAATAGTTTTGAGTCTTCCCACCTGGTTTGTATATAAATAAATAACATGTGATTAACATTAAGCAGAAATTTGCTTTGAAGCCCTACTTTTATGTAAAGATTTAAAACATCCTTGTTACATCATCTTAAGTGTTTTTCAGTGATTTCCATTGTTAAGTATACAGCTGTGCCATGCTCTGTTCAAATTTCTCAGACTTAGATCTGAGAATATTAGTGAAAATTTCTTAAACACATGGGAAATAATTTTTCAATCATGCCTGCTCTTTCAGTCTTTCAATCATGCAGGTGATGCTGTCGTGGTTTAACCTCAGCCAGCAGCCAAGAACCACGCAGCTGCTTACACTCCCTCGGATGTGATTTCAGAGTCCTGTCACAACCTGTTACATTCTGCAATATTCTGCAGATACTGTGTTTTCAGTATTTTAATGGAAAGGCTCATTCATATGTAGCTCTTATCCCAATACAACCAATCTGTTTTGGGAATCAGTATAGTAAAACCCCTGCAGGTTACTTACGAGCATACAATAGTATCACCAGACATCAGCATGGAGGTAAGGGATCAAACCGGGCATGACGTGCCATGGTGGGAAATATCCCTTTGGCTAGTTCAAGTCACCTGTCCCGGCTATGCTCCCTCCCAGTTTCCTGTGTATCTTCTCACTGGTAGAGCATGAGACACAGGCAAGAAAATGTCCTTGGTTATGATAAACACAACCCAGCAAAACCAAAACAACAATGTATTATCACTTCTGAATTCAAAACACTGCACTACGCTAGCTACTGAGAAAATTAACCCCATCCTGGCTAAAACCAGGACAGATGCTTATTTGCATGTTAGCTAAGGGCTCCTGGAATGTCTTTCAGCACAAAACTAAGCCTGTTTGGTGCTGCAGTAAGGATCAATCACTGCTCACACCTTGAGCAGCCTCCAGCTTTATTTAACAGGATTTTTCTTAGAAAAAACCTGGCTTGTGGATCCTAGATTTACTTGCTCCTAGTGAGTTTTGGGTCATGCTGGAAGCTGCCTGCATCCAAATCCAGCTGAAAAACTGAAGGATATTTTGTTTGAAAGGGAATAAAAGCAATAGGTCATGGTTTCTTTACCTCTGAGGTGAGTTAAGAAGGTCTCATGTAAGGCACAAATTAAGTGTATTTTAATGGCTTTGATCTAAGGAATATGTGAATTTTCTCAGAAACAAACTGAAGACATTGCCTGCAATGACTTTACTCCTCTTTCTTACTAAACCCTGATGGTGCAAATAGCAATGAGGATTGCAGGTGGGCAGTCTGCTGGGATTAGATGTCATCCCTTTGTGATACAGACCTACTTTGGGTGTGGGGGAGGGTTAGTGTGCTCTCATGTTTGAATACTGGTACACAAGTCACACTTCAACAGCTCATACTGTTGTACCAAATTTCCAAGACTAAGTACAGTCCTTATTGCTGAGGAGTTCAGAGGAGGAGATTTCCTTCATTTTAAGAACATAGGAACAATACCAGGGCAAATCTGATCAGCTGAGTTGGAAGAGAGAATACTTCTACATAAGTAAAGTTACAGGAAATACTCTTCTCATACTAGCTCTTAATCTCACTCTTGATTCAGTGACAAGGGCTTGGGAAGGTAAATTAGGATTCTTATCATCCTCATGAGGATTCGCGAAGTTTGCTTAGTCCATGGTGTGGGTCATGGTCTCTCAGTTCTCAAAGCTTTTCTGCTGGATATTTCCCATTTTTTCATAGAAATTATCTTGTCCACTTGCCGTCTTCATTTCTAAGGGAATCCTGCCAGGTTGGGTTCTCTCAGTCATTTGTGTGTCATGCTGAAGTAGAGAAATTCAGAGATGTACCTGAGACTTTGTCTTTATACTCATTCCATTTCTTTTGATGTGATAAACAGTTGGAGCCTGCAGAGGAATGTCACCTATGTTAACAATTCCTTGTGTATTTATCCAATCCCGTGAAGAAGTTTACAGAACTTTTACAGCATTGTCCAACTTTCTCGAGTCCTATGGAGCTGGAATTCTAAAAATATGTAAAAAACTGGAAAACAGAAGAACTTCTATGAATCCCTGCATAATTAATTAGCCAGGTAGTCATTATTAGTGCCATTAGCACCTTCTCCAAATGCTTTTATTTTGAAGTTTGCCTACTGTCAATAAAACTGAATCTGAAGATTCTTTACAAGTATAATTATAGTCACAGTCACTATTTTTAATATAATGGTGTGCATATGTTTATATTTTACATATCTAAAAGGTGCACACATGTATATATGTTTATTCTAGAGGCTGCTAAATTGTTAAACTAACTGTAAAAGTACTGAACCTTTAAGGATTTCAGAAATAAGTGTTAAGATATGTATGTCAGTTGCTATCTAAGAAATAAAACTTGGGGCTCCCTCCCACCTGATACAGAGCAAAGAACTGCAAAAATGTTTAATTTCAAACTAAAATAAGCCATCCCTTATAAATCAAGAGTGAAGTGGTCCAAACCAGATGAATGTTAGAAGAGATGATTTAAAATCCCAAATGCATTGACAGCATCCCTTTAATTTTTCTGTTCTCTTTTGCTGCAGGCACAGGTTGTGCTTTGTTTTGGACACTGCTGTATATTTCATTGCAGGATTCATGCTGTGCCTTAGCAGCTGTGTTAGGAATTCCCCACCCCAGGCAACAGTAGATGGAGGGATGGGATATAGGTGCTTTCTTACCTTTGTAAAACTCTGTGGTACAATTTGGAGATGAAGTTGGAGCAAAGTGGGAGTAATGATTTTTTTATTTTGTTCAAACTAGAGGAAGACTCCTCTACTTATTTCTAAATATATCAAGTTTAATTGACTACAGTTGAATTACACTTTTATTAAGACTTGTCTTTCTTTCAGCTGTTGTGGAGAAATGTTCCCAGGAATCTATAGGACTGTTTAACATTGCATTAACCAGGATTAAACATGAAATAATCTCTTT